ATAAAATGACATAAGTATAGTAAGGCATAAAAATTCATTAAAAATTCATAAAAACGACATAGTCCAGTTATGGCATGAAAAGTCATAAAAACGACATAGTATAGTAATGGCATAAATGTCATAAATAAACGTCATAGCATAGATAAAGGGCAATAAAAATTCATTAAAAAACGTCACTAGTTTACTAAGGCATAAAAGCTCTTAAAGAGAGCGCGAGTGAGTATTACCAAAGCATAAAAAGCGTCATGGTATAGTTAAGCAATAAAAAGTCATTAAAAACGAATAGTAGTAAGCATTAAAAAAGTCATAAAAAACGACAAAGTAGTGAGGCATTAAAAAGTCATAAAAATGACATTATAGTAAGCATAAAAAGTAATGGAAAAGTCATAACATTACTAAAGGCATAAAAAAGGAACAGTATACTGAGGCATAAAAAGTCTAAAACGACATTTAGTATAGTATGGCATAAAATTTAGAAAAACGTCATAGTATTGTAAGACATAAAAAAGGTCATCGTTATATTAAGTCAATAAAAAGCATAAAAACGACATATTATAGTATGGCATAAAAAGTTATGAAAATGTCAACAGTATGGTAAGAACATAAAAAAAAGATATAAGTATAGTAAGGCATGAAAAGTCATTAAAAACAACATAGTATTATCTTAATGGCATAAAAAAAGAATGTTATAAAAACGTAATAATATGTCAAGCATAAAACAACGTCATGGCTATTACTAAGGCATAAAAAAAAGTTCATAAAAAAATGACCATCAGTATAGTAAAATGGCATTAAAAGTCAATAAAACAACATATTATATTATGCATAAAAAAGTTTAAAAAGTCTTAGTATACTTAAAAGGGCACAAAAAAGAAAACATGGTATAGTTAGGCATAAAAAAGTCATAAAAAACGAAGTAGTATAGGTAAGGCATAAAAGTCAATAAAAACAACATAGTATAAGTATGGCAATTAAAAAATGTCATAAAAACATCATTGTAATTTACTAAGGTATAAAAAGTTCAATGTATAGCATTTGGCATAAAAGTCATAAAAAACGACATATTAATTATGGCCATAAAAAGTCACAAACGTCATAGTATACTATGGCATAAAAAAGTCATGGCAAAAGTCATAGTATAGTTAAAGCAATAAAATCATAAAAACGGACATAGTCAGTTATGGCATGAAAAGTCATAAAAACGGACATAGTCATAGTAATGGGCATAAAAATGCATAAAACGTTCATTGTATACTAAAGATAAAAAGTCATAGATTAGCATGGCAAAAAAGTACATATTTATATCCTTATGCCATAAAAAAGTCTTTTAAAAAAGGTCATAAGATATTACTAGGCATAAAAAAAGACATGTATAGTTAGGTATTAGAAATCATAAAACAACGAAAATAGCTTATAGTATTGGCAATAAAAACTCTTAAAAAACAAACATAGCATTTAGTATGCATGAAAAGTCAAAAAAAACGTAATAATATGGTAAAGACATAAA